CTAAAACAATCATGCCACACCACACCATATCATTCCACTGAGACTACGTCATCTTCGCAACAGCCACCCTGTCATTCCACAAAATTACCCCTCTTCTCCACACCACACACGCTTTTCATGAAACGCCATTTTTCATGCCACACCCCCAAAAGCATTCCACTGAGAAACGCCTATTTTCAACACCACCCCATGTCATTCCACGGGAACTCCCATCTTCATCCGAGCACCCCCCATGTCTTCTATTAGACTACGCCATTTCATGCCACAGCCACCCAAATATCATTCCAATGAGACTACGCATCTTTATCCCCAAGCCACACATGTCATTCCACGAGCCTACATCTTCATGCCACACCACACCATGTCATTCCACTGAACTACGCCATCTTCATGCCACAGCCACATCACGTCATTCCACTGAGACTACAATCTTCATGCCACACCACAACCTGTCATTCCACTGAGACTACGCCATCTTCAGGGCCAAAAGCCACACCATGTCTTTCCACTGAGACTACGCCATCTTCATGCCACAGCCACACCATGTCATTCCACTGAGACTAACGCCATCTTCATGCCCCCACGACATTAGGTCTTTCCACTGAACACGCCACTTCATGCCACAGCCACACCATGTCATTCCACTGAAACTACGCCTTCTTCATGCCAAGCCACACCATGTCATTCCACTGAGACTACGCCATCTTCATGCCACATCCACACCATTCATTCCACTGAAACTACGCCATCTTCATGCCAACACACCATGTCATTCCACTGAGACTACGCCATCTTCATCCCACATTCACACCATGTCATTCCCCCTGAAACTACGCCATCTTCATGCCAAGCCACATCATGTCATTCCAATGAGACGGGCGCCGTCTTCATACCACAGCCACACCATGTCATTCCACTGAGACTACGCCATATTCATGCCACAGCCACACCATGTCTTTCCCCACGAGACTAACGCTATTCATGCCACACCACACCATGTCTTTCCACATACGAGACATTCATCGCTCGGGGAAGGAAAGTAACAATGCTGAGCCTGGGGAAGGGGAAAAAAGGAAAGCTCTGATTCCTTCGAATCAAGAGCCCTTCTCCGGCAACAAGATCCCCCACCCCTCTTGAAAGAGGGGCAGAAGTGCTGTAAACCCGCACGGTTCATATAGCTATCTTTCCTGGCAGTAAAAATTTTCAAGTACAAAACACGTACACTTAAAAGGAAGAAAAATATCAGCCATAATAAAACGTTTTGTGTTTGATGTTATTCCATGAAAATCTTGTTGATGTTTCAAGAAATTTTGTTTTTGTTTATGTTATCCCTGAAACACTTAATTTTGTTGATGTTGATCCTGAAACACTTAATTTTTTTTGATGTTGATCCCGAAACACTTAATTTTTTGATGTTGATCCCTGAAACACTTATTTTATTGATGTTGTTCCCTGAAACACTTAATTATGTTGATGTTGATCCCTGAAACACTTAAATTTTGGTTGATGTTGATCCCTGAAACACTTAATTTTAATGATGTTGATCCCTGAAATATTTAATTTTATGAAATTGACCCTGAAACACTTAATTTTTTTTGATGTTGATCCCTGAAACACTTAAAATTTTTTGATGTTGATCCCTGAAACACTTAATTATGTTGATGTTGATCCCTGAAACACTTAATTATGTTGATGTTGGATTCCCTGAAACACTTAATTTGTTGATGTTGATCCCCGAAACACTTAATTATGTTGATGTTGATCCGTGAAAAGCTTGTTTTTGTAACATTTGTTGTGAAACATTATTTGCTGATATTGATCCATAAGATACGTATTTTTTAATATTGATCCCCTGGAATGACTTTTTGTTAAAATTGATCCATGAGAATGGTTTTCTTGTATTTTTGGCCACAAAACTTTTTGCTGCATTATTGTGCCACCAAAACGTTGTATTTCTGACAAATTATTTTTCTATGAAACATGTGTATTGGGTTTAAATTTTTGTTCCAACAAACAGTTTTTTATTCGTATTATTGTTCAATAAAACACGGGAATTTATTGACATTATTTTTCCTCTAAAACAAGTATTTCAACAAATTTTGACTTTATTAAGAATAGATGCTATTTTACTTAAACCCCATTTAGAGAGAAAGGAGAGGAGAGAGAAGAGAGAGAGAAGAGAGAGAGAGAGAGAAGAGAGAGAGAAGAGAGAGAGAGATCCTTTGGGGTCAAAAAACAGTAAGGGGGTTTTTTTTTAATGAACTCCCACACCTGCATTTCTCCTTCGAGGGGAAGGTGGGGGTAGGGTGTGGTGATGGTGGTAAGGGGTGGTGGGGGTAAAATAGAGGGTGGGGTGGTATAATAGCATGGGGGTGGTGGTATAGCGGGGTGGGGGGGATGGGGGTGGGGGTGTAGTGATGGTAGGATAGCAGGGGTGGTGTAGGGGTGGGGGTATAGCGGTGGGTGGGGGTTTTGTGGTGTGATAGCAAATGGGGGTAAAGGGCGGTTATGGGGTTGGGATGGGGGTGATAGGGGGTGGGTGGGGTGATAATGAGGGTGGTGTTGGGGGTGATATGATGGAAAAACGGGGGGTTTGAAGCTGTGTGGGATGTGGGAGGGTTTGGTACAGGGAGTTGGGGGGGTCATAGTGGGGGTGATCAAGCAAGTTAGTGGTGGAGACGCTGGGGGTGTAACCGAGGCTGATTCTCGTGATGATATGAAAGGGAAATAGGATAGGGTGATAGGGGGGGGTTGGTTGGGGGGTGGGGGTGGTGGGGGTGCGTGTGTGGTGCGGGTGGGGGTATGGGGTGTATGGTTGGAGTGGGGGGTAGTGGTGGGTGGGGGTGGGGTGGTGCTGAAACTTACTTGTTTCCACCGTAACCAAAAAGTAAAATATATAAATATAAAAATTAAAAATATATATAATATATATATATATATATATATATAAATATATAATTATATATATATATTATTTTGGTGAGGGTGGTGGGGGTAGAGGGGAAACCCAGGGAGGTGGGGGGTACAAGGCCACATGTTTTAAAAACCCGGGCCAAATTATGACTACAAACCTCGAAAGCTTTAAAAAAATCTATATCCAGCACCAGCCCATGTTCCATTTAAACTTGGAAATGTTTGTGTCGATCAGGAAAATTTTTAAACTTATGTTAGGGAAAAAACAATTGAAATTAATTTAACGTGGGAGTGACCATCAGTGCTCCCCCCCAGCCCGGGGGTGGGGGGAAAGGGGGGATGTGAACTAAGGTGAGTGACCCTTGGTTCTGCAGCCCCCTACCCACATTGTTCTTTGGTCATGGGAAACAAATAAAGTTTTTGTGTATTGTAAGACAGTGTGAACAAATTAGTGTCAAGTCCTTGTGTATTGTCCCCCGGATAACCCCACTCAACCTCGCCCCCCCCACCAATTTCCCCAAGGAAGTTTTCCCTTTCCCCTCCGGCCCCTCAAACTCCACCAGCCACCAGGGTCATTCACACCTTCCACGCCCATCCCACCCGCATGAATTTTTCCACCCTATTGTCTGCCCCAAGATGGTCCCAACCAGGGGAAGCAAGCACCCAGGAAAGGGCCGTGGAAACTAGAAGGCAAGTGTGGGTCTCTTCACTTCGTTGTCTCAATTTAAGGGTTTCCCCGCAAAAAAAAAAAAAAAAAAGTTCCCCCGGTTCAATGCCCCGTAAAAAGTGATGACCCCAAGCCCCCTCAGCACCTAACCCACCCCAAAAAATTTTTATCTCTCAACAATCTTTTGGAAGAAATAAAAGCAACAGGTCAGGACCCACAAATATTCCCAAGTCCCCGTCCCCCCGCCGGGGGAAATTTCAGACCTCCTAAAAAAAAGAAACGATGGTTCCACTATCTTAAAGCTCCACCAACCATAAAGCAGGCCAACTTGCTACTTTTTGGAAAAAGTGGCCCGGGGGCCGGGGGGCTAAACCCCCGCTTCATCACGGGGGGCCCGGTTCGATTCCGGGGGTGGAAACATTTCGCACTTTTCCCTTACACCGTTGCCTTTCACCTAGCACAAAT